CTGTCAATCAAACATCTGTCAGATCAAACATCTGTCAGGTCAAACATTTGCAGCTGTCAATCAAACATCTGTCAGAGCAAACATCTGTCAGCTGTCAATCAAACAATTGTCAGATCAAACATCTGTCAGCTGTCAATCAAACATCTGTCAGGTCAAACATCTGTCAGCTGTCAATCAAACATCTGTCAGATCAAACATCTGTCAGCTGTCAATCAAACATCTGTCAGATCAAACATCTGTCAGCGGTCAATCAAACAATTGTCAGATCAAACATCTGTCAGCTGTCAATCAAACATCTGTCAATCAAACATCTGTCAGATCAAACATCTGTCAGGTCACAAAGCACCAAAAACAGTTGAGTTTCTCGTAGTTTGTTCAGAAACTGGTGAGTTTTGACTCAAAACTTTATAAATCATAGAAAAGCTGTTTCTCGTTTGATTTTATGAACATTCAAGACGACCAGCAGAAAGAAAACCACCACCTGCAGGAGATAAAACTTGTTTTTAGTAAAAGACTTTATCAGAATTACAGAACTGAAGTCAGTTTGGCTCCGTCCAATCAAATCGGATCAGTTAAAGTTCAAACCAGTTTCAAACATGCTAATTTGAATGTTTATTAGTAACTCTGTCCTCTCGCTGTTAAAACCTGATGATTGTTCTTGTTTGATTAGTTTTAGTTCGTTGGCGTCCTGTCCCCCCGAATGATCCACTTGCTGCAGTGAAACCTTCCGGCCGATCCAAGCTTTCACTCACCTTTCCAGAGTACTGCGACATTTTTCTCCCGCTGGATGTCGTCCAACCTGACCCACAACCACACACACTGTGTAACAGAGAAAAAGTTGGACACCCCAATTTATACGGCAGGGGGGCGAGGCGGGGCCCGAGCGGGGGCCGGGGCCCCACTGGGGGGACAAAGGAGGGACTTTAAAGGTTTCTGCTGCCTCAACGGTTTCCCTTCATCCTGATGTGTCGGTGGATTCTGCTGTGTGTGTGTGTGTGTGTGTGTGTGTGTGTGTGTGTGTGTGTGTGTGAGTGAATAGAAAGTGCTTGGACGCAGCTTTGCAGCTCAATGATAATGCACAGGTCACGTTTCTGCAGAGACAAAAAGATAAAAGCTGCAGCTCGTGAACTAAAAAGTACCAACCCGTACAGATACTACAGTAAAAATACTACAGTAAAAATACTACAGTAAGAAGTCCTGAACTGGTCACTAAAACAAGTTTAGTCACAATTTATAAATGAAACCTTTTGTAAATTCAACAAAAGTGATGTTTAACAAAGTTTTCAGTACATCTCAAAAGTCCAGTAAAAGTTCAATAAAATGTAAATGTTAAATTGGATTATTGGGCATGCATCAGGGTAAATGTTAAATGTTAAAGTAAAGTGAAGAAGATATTCTGCAGAAAAACCAACGTTCTCCTCTGAAGCCCAGCTGGAGTTCAGGCCTCCAACATTCTGATGTTCAAACCGTAGGCGTCAACGTTAAAATGTTGTAAAGTCAGTGACATCACAAGTTCTGCTGCTAAACTAAACTGACTCAAAGCCTGAACACATCTGTACAGCTGTTCTGAGAACGTCGTGTCTTTTTCTCATTATTGTTGCCAAAACCAACGCATTCATCAAGAAACCTTTTGTTTCACCCAGAAGTCAAAAACTGGCTCAAATTCCTGAAGATTCAAATCTGATAAACCTCAAAATAAAAATTTCAAACTCGTTTTCTTTCTGTCCTGTTGATTTTTATTCATTCAACCTTTATTTCTACAGGTAAATCCCATTGAGCCTCGAGGACTCATTTACAAGAGAGACCTGATTTAACAAAGAACGATGAAACAATGGACAACAACAACAACAATAAACAGTTATAAAAAGTCATACTGCAGGTTTTTTATTTTTTATAACAAATAGGATGGCTAAAAGAAAAAGGTAACAGAAAAACAGCTAGATTCTAAGGCGAATGTATAAAACTAAAAACAGGAACATGTCTGCGTTGGTCCCTGCCAGGAGTCCAACAGTTTTATTTATTGTTCTATAAATCTGTTTTATTCAAAACTTCAGCTGTAAAGTGTAAAAGATGCAGATTTGAGGTTTTCAAGTAAACGTACGTTCTGCTGCTGCTTTCTGTTCCAGCAGAGAGAAACCACCAACATGAAGAGATTCAGTCACATCAGAGATATGAACATTGTTTTTGTGTGAAAGTACCTTCAGACAAACATGACTGCAGTCACCGTCAGTTCTTCTGTTTGTTTCCAGAGGTTCCAGCTGAGGACACATCAGACGGTCAAGATGTCCTCAGAAACAACTCGGAACAAGAAAAAGTTGTGCGAAGAGCTGGACATGAAAAGGTTTACAGAACAGAACTTTAATGAGAACAGTCAGAAATAAATAAAACTGAACTTCTTATTCCAGGTCTGATGAGCTTTAATGGACAAAAGTCATCCAGTTCACATAAATATATTCAAACTGAAACGTTTCATTAAAAAGTTCTTCATGCATCATTTAACAAAACTCCAGAACAGAGAAATAAATACTTCCTGACTTCTTTTGCTCACTGAGCCGATGAAGAAATGCATCAAAAATCAACACAAAGAAAAATGTTAAAAACTTGTCTTTAGGTGAGTTTCTGTCCTGCTCGGAGGTAAACTTCTTCTTCACGGAGCGGACTCTTCACGCTTAACATTAATGAACTCAACGTGCAAACTGAAGAAACAAAACAAAGAACCAAACAACTTCAAACTAAAATAACAAGAACTGGTTATTGATTATAAATATATAAAATAATGGTGACTTTTCTATGTTTCTCCAGTCTTCTGGGGTGCCTCAAAGCTCAGTACTTGGACTCCTACTTTTTCTTATATAAACCCTGCTCAGTAATCCTCTCTAATGGCTTCTTGTCTCACCGTATGCAGACTATACCCAACTGTATGTTTGTTACCAATATCCTCACAAACAATGCAGTTTCAGTCCAGGCTGTTCCACGATGCTGAAACGAGCTACTAGTCTGTCAGCGCAGGATGCCCAGCTCTACCTGCAGAGAACACAGTCAGCACCTTAAAGGCTGCTCCATCCTCCACAAGAATGGAGAACACTGTTCTCTCTTCCAGAATGACAGGATTTTCTGGCAGCCCTGGTTCAGAAGTTCTTACAGTTTGTTCTCCACACATCTTCTGAGCAGAGCTTTAATCTTGTGTGGTGTCTGAGAACTACTGGGTCAAAAGTTTGAAGTGGGACAAACCTAAATGTTGACTCCACTTCCCAGGAGCTCTGCATGTGAATGTGAGAAGAAATATTTAAATATTAATATTATTTAAATATTTATTTATTTGAAATATTTAGGCATTGTTGTGACTCGAGACAGATCACTCTCTGATAAGCTGAACATACTGTAGGTGATACAGTGGACAAAGGGAAGTTGATTCTAAATTGTTGGTTACAAAACGATCTCTCGGTTTTTGGTAGAATATTATTCATCAAAATGGACAATTATTTTACACTGATTTATCCGGCCTTTACCCTTATCAATCAAAACAATTAAAAATATTAATAGTTTAAATTTCAAATTTATTTGGAGAAATAAATGTCATTATATTGCAAAACAGGATCTGATGAAGTCATAGAGGAGCAACGCCAAAGATTTTGATGCTATGAATGGGAGGTTAAAAATAAAGTGTCTGAAATCAACTCTATTTGGTCTTCAAAAACGTAGGTGCACTTGATTTCCTCTTAAAATGTGACTTTGATCTTAGAAGATTACCAGTAAAACTATCAGATTTCCATCAACAGGCTCTTTTGTATTGCAAGCTCATCTTCAAACACAACTCTGCACAACACACCAATCTGGAACAATATAGTCCTGTTGGACCTCACAGCCGCCTTTGACACCATCGACCATGAGATCCTCATTGCTAGGTTGGAGCAGTGGAAGGGCGTCACAGGATCAGCCCTCAATTGGTTCAGATCTTACCTCACTGACACATCCTTTTGTGTCTCCATCAAGGATTTTAGTTCCGCAGAGGCAGAGCTTAAATGGGGGGTTCCACAGGGGTCCATCCTGGGTCCCCTCCTATTCTCTTTATACCTGCTGCCGCTTGGTGCTATTTTCCGGAAACACAACATGCCCTTCCACTTCTATGCCGATGACTGTCAAATTTACTTCCCCCTAAGACACAATGGTACATGCTCTATTCAACCGCTGCTCGACTGCCTGGCTGACATCAGGGACTGGATGGCTTTAAATTTCTTGAGTTTCAATGAAAAGAAGTCTGAAGTCATGTTGTTCCCTCCCAACGACACGATCACAAACCACTGCATCGACCTTTCCACTCTAACCCTGTCAGAAAAACAAAGAGTCACTAATCTGGGCGTGATAATGGACCCTTCCCTGAAACTTAACAATCATGTAAACATGATTGTTAAATCATGCTTCTTCCAACTGAGGCGGCTGTCTAAACTGAAGCCCATATTGTCCAAAAAGAACCTGGAGACAGTAATACATGCATTCATTACATCGAGGCTTGATTACTGCAATTCGCTCCTGTTTGGTATCAGTCAGACCTCCATTGCACGACTACAACTGGTCCAGAATGCAGCAGCCCCATTTTTAACCAGTACAGGCAAAAGAGAGCACATTACACCAGTTTTG